GTAGATGAGACAATATCTGGCCATCCTCATTTCCAAGGAGTATTCTGGCTCCCCTTCCTCCAGGATTGTTATTGTTGTTGTTATGTGTTGTCAAGTCAGATCCAACTCATAGCGACCCCTCCTTGGGTTTCCAAGGCAATATCACTACGGAAGTAGATTGCCCCATCTTCCTTCCGAGGAGTGGCTGGCGGGTTTGAACTGCCAGCCTTCTGGTTAGCAGTCAAATGCCTTAGCCACTACGCTACCAGAGCTCATTCTTCTGTCAGTCTATGGTATTTTCAATATACTTTGCCAGCACCACAATTCAAAGGCATGAACTCTTCTATGTTCTTCCTTATTCATTGTCCAGCTTTTACATGCATATGAGGCTATTGAAAATACCATGGCTTGGATTAGGCACAACTTAGTCTTCAAAGACACATCTTTACTCTTCTGCACTTTGAAGAGATCTTTTGCAGCAGATTTGCCCAGTGCACTTCATCATCTGATTTCTTAACTGGTGCTTCCATAGGTATTGATTGTGGATCCAAGTAGAATGAAATCTTTGATAACTTCAATCTTTTCTCCATTTATCATGATGTTGCTTATTGGTCGTCTTGTGAAGATTTTCATTTTCATTGTGTTGAGGTGTAATCCATACTGCAGACTGTATCTTTAATGTTCATCAGTAAGTTTTTCAAGTCATCTTCACTTTCAGCAAATGTGGTTGTGTCACCAGCATATCACAGATTGTTAATGAGTTTTTTCTAATCCTGATGCCGCTTTCTTCTTCATGTAGTCCAGTTTATCAAATTATATGTTCAACATACAGATTGAGTAAGTATGGCAAAAGGATACAACCCTTCTGTGGGTCTGATTTGACAGCAGTACATTTTGTGTGAGTTACCTTCTTGTTCTGTTTGAACAATTTTTGGTCTGTGTACAAGTTCTTCATGAGCACAATTAAGTATTAGGAAATTTCCATTCTTTACAACGTTATCCATAAATTATTATCATCCATGCTGTTGAATGCCTTTGCATAGTCAGTAAAAGACAGGTAAACATCTTCCTAGTATTCTTTGCTTTCAGCCAAGATCCATCTGGCATCAGCAGTTATATCTCTCATACCATTCCCCCTTCTGAATCCAGCTTAATTTTCTGTCAGTTCCTCTTTGAAGTACTATTGCAATCATTTTTTAATTATTTCCAGCAAAATTTTGTGTATGATATTAATGATATGATTGGATACTTCCCACATTTTGTTGGATCACCTCTCTTTGGAATGGGCACAAATATGGATCTCTTCATGTATATATATATATACCAAACTCACTGAGACAGAGTCAATTCCAACTCATAACAACAACCCCATTTGTGTTTCCAAGATGGTACATCTTTACAGAAATATATTGCAGTCTTCATCCCACGGAGTAGCTGGTTGCTTTGAACTGCCAACCTTCTGATTAGCAGTCAAATGCCTTAGGCACTGTGCCAGCAGAGCTCCATATGTGTGTGTGTGTGGGGGGGTACATACTTTAAAACAAATACCATTGCTGTCAAGTCAGTTCAGACTCACAGTGACCCTATAGAGCACTAAAACTGCCCCCAAAGGATTTCCAATGCTGTAATCATTAAGGAAGCTGACTGCCGGATCTTTCCAACACAGAGTGGCAGGCGGGTTTGAACCACTAACCTTTTGGTTAGCAGCCCAGAGCTTAACCACTGTGCCACCAAGGATGGATAGACAGAAAGACAGATAGATGGATAGGTAGGTAGGTAGATAGACAGGCAAACAGACAGATGGCAGTAACTATGGATAAATCACTCCCTATCAGTAAACGGCACTCTTCACAAGACCTTAACACCATCCATGTCCGTTATCTGTTTCACACACCAAGGGAAGTAGACATGAAATGAAGGTTGTTACTGCCCAATGCGTATCTATGTGTGTATTTCATTTCAGAAGATTACTTGAGCACTTCAGCCATCCTCTTTGGGGATACTAGAAGAGTGGAGAATTTTCTGTGCGCAAAACATTGGCTCTAGGAACATCCCAGCTGAGAGGACATCTCAGATGGATGAATAGCTTGGATGCTTGATCCCTGCGGCCATTTTAACTGGCCCCATGCCTTTGGCCTTTTACCAAATTCCCATTAAATAATTTTAAAAATTAATTTAATTTCATTACTAAACTACATCTGAGAAACTGCTTGATTCATGTCCTGTCTACACCATCCACATGTTTCTTTTGTCAAATCATCTGATCTTCAACTATTTCACTACAAATTTTTTTTTGAAGCATTTTTTTAAAGAAATTTTGTTACAGAAATGAGGAAATTATTAACTCATCTCTTGTGATTTTGAGTTTTCCCTCCCAGAAAGCTTATTTTTAGAACCATACTAAGTCAGCTGGGTCCAGTCGACAATAACATATATGCAGCTCTGGTAGCATAGTGCCTAAGGCACTTGACTGCTAACCAGAAGGCTGGTGGTTCAAACCCACCAGCAACTCCTTGGAAGGAAGGTTGGGCAATCTACTTCCATAGTGATACTGCCTCAGCAACCCAAGGAGGGGTCGCTATGAGTCGGGGCCAACTCTATGGAACATAACAACAACCACAACAACAACCTATAATAGACAGGCTAACCAGAAGGCTGATGGTTCAAACCCACCAGCCACTCCTCGGAAGGAAGGTTGGGCAATCTACTTCCGTAGTGATACTGCCTTGAAAACCCAAGGAGGAGTCGCTATGAGTTGGGGCCAACTCGACGGCACATAACAACAACAACAGGACAGAGTTTATATGTGTGTTACATTATTAAAGAATTTGTCAAAAATAAGTATGTGTATTGGTGGGCAAGTTTCAACAAGCAGTATTCATTGCTTCTTCATCATTTCCATATGCTTTCTCCTTCGTTTATTTTGCACGTAAACATCCATACTGCACATTCTGAATCTTTTGGTCTTCTGCTATGATCTTTTCTGGATGAATGGAAGGTACTGAAGTATAAGGAGCCCGGTAGTCCAGTGTTCAGCTGCAAACCTAAAAAGTCCGACACGCAGAACCCATCATCTGCTCCTCAGGAGAAAGATGTGGCAGTCTCCTTCCATAAAGATTTACAGCCTTGAAAGCCCCATGGGGCAGTTCTATTCTGTCCTGTAGCTTGCTGTGAGTTTTATCTGAAAGACCTGGGGGGTGGGGGTGTTGGGTAGGGTTTGGCTGAATGTATATGGGATTGTGCTGCCCTCTAGTGGTAGCCAGAAAAACATAGCTAGAGGAAAGGAAAGACCAGAATTTTGAGTAGGTGTAAGAAGTCACGAAGTGTGCCAGATTCTCAATTAAATATTTATCACATCCTTGGACAACTTCTGCCTTTTATGTAACGGCTTTCCCTTTTAAGTGTTTGCAATAGATTTTTATCATCCGCAACATTTTAGCTACCTCTATACTCAACAAAATACCAACCTCAATCTGGGATCTGGAGATTGGCTGTGTTACTGGGGTGGGGGCACTGGCCTAGTGTGCCCAAATTGTTGTGGGTGAATCGATACCCAGATGGGCCATGTTGGTGAAAGACATTTGTATCCTTCTCCATCTATATTATGGGAAGGAGCAGCTGGGTCAGGCCATGTGTATGTACGTTATTTCCTTTTGCGTCATCATGGATTTAACCAAGCCCTGCTGACACAGTGATTAAGCACTCAGATGCTAATTGAAAGGTAAGCAGTTAGGACCCACCAGCTGCTCTGTGGTGGAAAGATCTGCCAGTCTGCTTCCATAAAGATTGTTGTTGTTGTTGTTATGTGCCATCGAGTCAGACCCGACTCATAGCGACCCCTCCTTGGGTTTCTGAGGCAGCATCACTACAGAAGTAGATTGCCCCATCTTCCTTCCGAGGAGTGGCGGGTGGATTTGAACCACCAGCCTTCTGGTTAGCAGTCAAGTGCCTTAGCCACTATGCTATCAGAGCTCCCTCCATAAAGATTATGAACTTGGAAATCCTACAGAGCAGTTCGGGCCTATCAGATAGCTGTGTGTCAGAATGACTGGATAGCAATGGGTTAAGTTTGCTTTTGGTGTTCGTTTATTTTTTCAATCTTGCCAGATCTCCCTAAAACCTGTCCATTTTCTGATTATTTCTAATAAGGTAGGACAAATTAACTTACATGTGGTTATCTGACCATTAGATTTATATACATATACCATATTTGCATATGCAGTAAATATGGGGTATTTCACAAAACCTCTTAAAATAAATTATCATCAAGCAGATGTAAGATAGTAAAAATGATGTTTAAAGCATCTTTGATTTAAGCTTCTTTATGTTCAAAATCCCATATCTCTCCTTAAAACCACCCATTGTTAGTTTCTCAAGTGAGTGACAGTTATCTCTACAGTGAGCAGAGTGTCCTTTCCCTCAGTGACAAGGGTTGGTTAGTAGTGACTGCATTTCAAGATATTGTATTCTCATAATCACAAGCAAACAGAAGCCAGATAAAATACAGTGACTGAATTAATTGGGGCCTTCTTGCTGACACACAAGTGGCTTGATGCTTGCTGTGCCCTGTTAGATAACCCACAGAGAACTGCACTCACTGATCCCTCCTTGGCTTTGAAATTTAGCCAGAGTGATCCATAAAATAATTGGGCTGGATTAGACATCATTGTTTTTTCTGTACTTCTGTTAAATAACCAGTCCAACCTAAGAACATGACATCTAAAGGCAAAATTGCCAAGCTCTTCCTTTCCTCAAGCAAGTGTGAAACGTTACTCTACTGTTTATGAGATACTAGCGTAGTGCCTAAGGCACTTGACTGCTTACCAGAAGGCTGGCGGTTCAAACCCACCAGCCACTCCTCGGAAGGAAGGTTGGGCAATCTACTTCCGTAGTGATACTGCTTCAGCAACCCAAGGAGGGGTCGCTGTAAGTTGGGTCCAACTCAACATCACATAACAACAACAACAACAACAACAACATCTTATAAAAAGATAATGTTAATATTGTTTCTTCCTTTTCAGGTATCTGGATGGGAACCAATTCACACTGGTACCCAAGGAGCTATCTAACTACAAACATTTAACACTTATGTAAGTAACATATTCCATGTTTTTCAGTCTTTGACTTCTTACTCAATTTCATGAGAACAGAGACGGCAGGACACATGAGACGTAGTGATGATAGAAATCACATACAGCTGGTGCATTGTGGTTTGCGATCACTAGCGACATCTTCATAGAATATCGATCAGGTGGATGAGTGTCTTAAACAAAGGTCCTCTTCTATTCAAAGAAGCACAGATATGAGAAAGTCTAAGTATTTAGAGAAGTAGAGAAATCAGTAGTCACAGAATTAGAGAAATACAGTAAAATTGGATATTTCTACTGACAGTGAACATAGACTATGTTATGAGAAGGGAAAAGTGTATTTATACTTTATTCTTGACTTTAAGCAAAAGATGCCAGATGTGATAACTTCACTGAAAATACATTACAAATGTAATTTATTAGATTTAGGACTCTTATGCAAAGCATTATTAAATAACCCATGGGCTTCCAGTATTAAAACTTACTTTAGAAGATCCATATATATGTATATAGCATTTAAGTTAATATGACAAGGATGCTATAATTCTGAATATAAATTGCAAAATATTACCACTTTATTGTTTTGTTTGATAGCCTCCTAAAATAACATCTTTTATTTTCCCATTAACATAAATAATTTTAGACCCTCTTCAAGTTGTAAGCTAAGCTGATATTTAATTTGATCTTATTATATATATGCTACATAAAGGTAGTTTTGGTCTTGTTATACTTAGGGTCACACTTTTAGATTAGGCCTGGTGGGAGATTGATAAAACTTGTCAGAACCCCTCCAAAAATACTGGGGAATGGGAGTAGATGTTAAGACAACCGTTATATTTGCTTTAAGTCTATCCAGCTCTGAAATAAGTCTGACTGACTTAATAAGCAGATTGTTTCTAGAATAAGGAGGTTTATCCCTAATTGGAGTGACCCCCTGGGTGGCACAGATGGTTAAGGAAGGGCACAGCCGTTGAAGATCCTGTGGGGGGCAATTCTGCTCTGACATACATGGGATCACCATGAATTGGAATCAGCTTGATGACAACTGGGTGTTTTGGTTGTATGTTTTTCATCAGTATTGAGTGACTTCTAGAATCCTAACTAGCAGAAAGCATTGAATTTTCAACCGTACATAGAATAGAACAAAACACTGCCCAGTCCTTTGCCATCCTCACAATCACTGCTGTGTTTGAGCTCATTGTTGCAGCCACTGTGTCAGTCCACCTAGTTGAGGGTCTTCCCCTTTTTTGCTGCCCCTCCATTTTACCAAGCCTGCTATCTGTCTCCAGGGAGTGGTCCCTCCTGATAACATGGCCAAATTAGGTGAGATGAAGTCTAACCATTGTTACTTCTAAGGAACATTTGGCTGCACTTCTTCTAGGACAAATTCTTCCAAGACACAAAGTGTTTAGAAATGTTTAAATGGCAAAAATGATTACATTAAGAAAAAGGAAAAAAGATTCCTTGTTCTGTGTCTAGTTATGTTTTTGTAAGCAGCAAGAATGGATTACTTACATTTTGTTCTGTTAAATAAACCATTAAATTGCTGCCATTTCTAAAGGCTCACTTCAGTAAAATTGGGTCATTTGTAGCACAACATGTGACCACTACACACCAGTTAGAAATGTGGATTCGTGGATCCAGAAATGTTTTTACCAGTCAACCATCGCACAGCTCTAAACAAGTAACTTCTGCTTATGTAAGTGTTTGATGTTGAGCCTGCTCCAACTCCTGTCAGCCCATGTGTGCCAGAGTTGAACTGTGGGCCACCGGGTTTTCCCTTGGGAATTTATCAGAAGTAGAGTGTCAGGCCTTTCATGAAAGGTACCTCTGGGTGGACTCAACTTCTGTCCTTGTGGTTAACAGCTGAGTGAGTTAACCACTTATGCCACCTGGGAACTCCTCTGCTTATATAGATAAGTTCATTTTAAAAAAATTAACACTATACTACATCTGGAGGAAAAAAAAAAAAAAAAGAAAACTTACTGCCATTGAGTTGGAGCCAACTCATAGCAACCCCTCCTTGGGTTTCTGAGGCAGTATTACTATGGAAGTAGATTGCCCAGCCTTCCTTCTGAGGAGTGGCTGGTGGGTTTGAACTGCCAGCCTTCTGGTTAGCAGTCAAGTGCCTTAGGCACTGCGCCACCATGGCTCCTACCTATAGAGTTAGGAGGATGGATTATAATGCTCCATATAAGGTTCCTGCCATTCTCATGATTTTATGTATTGATTTTACTGAAAGTTTGAACTTTCATGAATGTATGAACAGATTTTCATTTTTCTGAATTTTCTGTTTACTCACAAATTTTGCATTTGCCAAAAAAAAAAAATAGTGAATTCAAAAGATATATTTTATGAGAATAATATCAAGTACACTGAGTATAAATTATGAGCCACAGTAAGAATACACTTGTAAAGGGCCCTTGTACATTGGTAAAATTCCATGTCGGTCTCTTTTACTTATAATTCATTAAACAAATATTTAGTAAGGACCTACTAGGTGCCAGTGACTCTGCCAAGGGCAAAAGGACAGATGTTTTTAATTACAGCATTGTGCACCTCATCCTGAGTTACCAACTATCTCATTGTTTGGCATGTTGCATTTACAACAGTAAAAAGAAAAATCTATTATCAGACAATTTTGCGCATCACTGTACGTCTGGGAGTAGCAAACGGGGCAAAGCAAAAGTGATACTGGCTGTGCTGGTTCGGGTTAAGTGTCAACATGACTGGGCTGTGATTCTTAGTGCTTTGAAAGTTATGCAATGATGCAGTTTTGTAGTTCTGTAATGAGGTAGTCATCCTCCATTTTGTGATTTCATGTGACCATCCTCCATTTTCACATAATGATCTGGTCTTTGGACTCTAACCATGTCAGTAAGTGAGGTATGTATGTAATTGTTATTCAATCGAGTGTTCATTCTTTTATCAAATTTGAGTAATTTTAATTTCTGAAGTATGTGCACTGTGAGGATAAAGTATTTGTATCAGAAGGGACTTCCAAGAGCAAAGCTTTTTCTCTCTCCCTTGAAATGAGTCTGTTCTGTATCTGCTGCCCATATTTCACTCTGGGGCCAGCCTAGTGGAGCAGGCACTCCTAGGAGTATCTCCAGTCTTTGGAGGATGGAGAAGAGGCATATGGGAATGTGACCTTACTCTTAAAGCTTTTGCTGTGAAGTGAAACCTGCCACAGCTCCTATTACTTCATTGGCTAAAGAAAAACCTGTGGCCGCTTCTGAAGGTCCTCGGGTGACGTAAATGGTTTGTGCTCAAGCACTAACCTAGAGATTGGTGGTTCATGGTTCAAACCCACCCAGGACACCATAGAAGTAAGGCCTGAAGATCCGCTTCCATAAATCTTTCATCCCAGAAAGCCCTGTAGAGCGATCCTACTTTATAGCAGTTGGAGATGCTGAGAGTGAGAATCAGCTCTAAGGCAGTGTTTTGTTTTGTTTGATGGTCACCTCTGTTTTCAGCAGGGTGAAAAATGAATAATTACGAATAAAAATACAGTCTACCACAGGGGCTAATCCACGGGTTTGTAATTTTCAAGTAATAACCGAATGTTAATAATTCTGCCATTACTATGAATAAAAAGAGCATTCTCTTCCTACAAATCACTATTATTTCAATTTCTGTGGTAATATTAGACTCGATTTTTCTTTTCTCTTTCAGAGACTTAAGTAACAACCGAATAAGTACCCTTTCTAATCAGAGCTTCAGCAACATGACCCAGCTCCTCACCTTGTAAGTATGAAAACGTGGCCCTGGGTATTCATTAATCCATTGGACCAAGTGCTTTTTTTCAAACCTTAGACAATCCTCGTTAACAAGACAGAGAAAGCCTGTGCCCTTGTGCAGCATACATTCTGTTGAGAGAAACCCAAATAAAACCCCAGTAAACAAACAAATACATGCAGATACTACAAAATATCTTGGGTTCTATAAAATAAACAAGTAAGATAATAATTTATGTGTGTATTGGGGTTCAGGGAAGCCCAAAGTCAGGTGCCAGAGGGATGGCTGAGCATGAGAGTTTCTGAAGTTACACAGGTAAGCCTTCTAAACTGTACTTGGGAAAAGAAGAAATACATTGCATTAGCAAGAACAAAATACGGGAAATACATATTATGTATCAAAAGTCCTCATTTCTAGGATGCTAAGATAAGGGTTTTCTTAACTGTGTTGTGTTAAAAATGATGTTTGGTGATTTTGGGCTGTCTGAGGAAATCACATTGGTTTATGTGTGCTTTCAGAATTCTCAGCTACAACCGTCTCAGGTGTATTCCACTCCGAACGTTCCACGGGTTGAAGTCTCTTCGATTACTGTAAGCATCCTACGTTTAATAACATGGCTCTTCTTCCAGGGGATCTAAAGGTTGTGTTTTTAATAATTTAACTGCTTTATTGATTCTTGAGTATTTTTGGATGTATGCATTAGAGATTTACTATAAATTTGGAACTAAGAAAATCATGTTGTACTCTATCCTTGTTCAACAAACTTTGATTTGGAGACCTTACCTTTCTCTTGTATAATTTTTGCTGTAGGCATTTATTTGACAACATATAACATTAACTGATTATTTTTCATAGTTCCAATTTCTTTTGCTATGCTGAAAAAATAAATATTTTTTTTTAATTATGGAATATATGAATACATTCTTTTTGTTGTAAAAAATTGCTTTTAAAGAGCATGAAAGTGGTCCTTCATAGCTTCAATCCTCAGTTGCCCTCCCCTCCCCAGAGCTAACCAGTTAAACTTTGATTTATTCTCATCTTTTTAATATGCATCTATTTTCATGTACTGACATATGTATGTACACGGCCAGATAACGTCTGAAAGCTGTAAGCAACATCATTGATTGTTCAACTACTGGCTGTTTTTATTTAAGAGTATGGTTTAGAATCTTTGCATCCCTTTTATATAGCTATTCCTCAATCTTTTTTCTGCTGTGGAGTATTTGATAGGATGGAGGAACCATACCTTATTGAATCATTTTAATCTGTACTATCATTTAGTTTACCTCCGATTTTTCATTATTCTATACAGTGATATAATGAACACCTTTTATCTTCTTGGTGCACCTGTGCAAACATTTCAGCAATTATTTGAGGTGAGAAGATATTGTCAAGTATATTAGGTGGATACACAAAGTAACTGTCCAACTGTCCACCAAACAAGACTTTGTGCGTTTACAAAATCATTTTTCTACCAACTATTAAGTGATGTTGCTGCATGCTGTTGAGTTGTTTCCAGCTAATGATGACCCATGTGACAGAGTCAAACTGCTCCATAGGGTTTTCTAGGCTGTAATCCTATGAGAGCAGATCACCAGGTCTTTCTCCCACTAAGGTGCTGGGTAGGTTTGAACCACCAGCCTTTCAGTTAGCAGCTGAGTACTTGACTGTTGTGCCACTAGGGCTTCTAACTATTTAATTAGAACAATAAAAACAAAAACACTACCATGGAGTCACTTCCAATTCATAGCAACCCCCATTGGATTTCCAAGGCTGTACATCTTTATGAAAGTAGATTGCCTCATCTTCCTCCTATGGAGCAGCTGGTGGGTGTGAGCCACTGACCTTCTGGTTAGCAGCCAGATGTTTTGCCTACCATAGCACCAGAGCTCCTTAAATACTATAGAAAAATATTTTCCATCCCTGTTGTAATTTGATTTCCGGTTACTTGAGCATGTGAGTACGTTTTAAGCATATGCACTTCTTTTTCAATGCGTTGTCTGATCATATCATTTTCTCATTTTTCTGTAGGGTACTTTTTCTCTTATTTATTAAGATTTTAGAAGTGTTTTTTTTTTTTTTTTTTTTAATAAGTAAAGGAATGACCCCTTCATTTGCTGTATATGTTGCAAATACTTCCTATTAGACACTCAATACGGAACTTTATCATATGTATATGTATCCTGTTGTCAGCATTTGGTAGTCTTTTGCTTTATGCTCCCTGGGTTTTATATTGTGCTTTTCAAAGTCTCCTACATGAAACTTTTTTTTAAGACTTCTATATGTTCTTTTAAATTTCATTTTTAATCTGCAATATATTTATGCACATGACATGGAATAGGAACTGATTTATTTTCTCCCAAGTAGATATCCAGTTGTGCCGAGCCGATTTGTAGAATCCACCTTCTTTTCAACACTGAATTTTAATAGTATCAGACAAAATTTCACACATGCATGAAAATTTTCCCGGACTCTCTGAAGAACAGGAAATTTAATTTTCGTTTTTCTTGCTTTCAGTTCTTTACATGGAAATGATATTTCTGCTGTGCCTGAAGGTGCTTTCAATGATCTTTCTGCCTTGTCACACCTGTGAGTACCTGGGTCATAAATCTGGGTTTGGCGGCAGGACTGTCCCCGGAAAGTGAGTTTAGCAGGAACAGTCCTCTGCCACTCCTTTTATTGAAGCATCCTAACATGCAAGTGTTGTCTTCTTTGAAAAAAATGTAGAGTTCAACCTGGAGTATGGTGCCCTACAAAATACGGCTTTAATTTACCTCTCTAGCCCTTTTCCTTCATTAGTCGAGTTCTCTTTGCTTAGTGAAAAGAAAAGAAAAAAAAAGCCCACTGCCATCAAGTCAATCCCCACGCATAGCAACCCCCATTGGGTTTCCGAGACAGCAAATCTTTACCAAAGTAGATTGCCCAGTCTTGCTTCCGCAGAGTAGCTGGTAGGTTTGAACCGCCAGCCTTCTGGTTAGCAGTCAGATGCCTTAGACACTGTGCTACTAGAGCTCCTTTGCTTAGTAAAGGGATCTCTTTTTACAACGTGTCTCCCTGATGACGTTCCTAGCCCAGGCCTTTTCTCTTGTACTCTGATTCTGCAGTATCAGCTCCCTTTGCATCCTATCTGTTCCAACTCCCCCTTCTAAGTTGTTGTAGTTGTTGTTGTTGTTGTTGTTGTTGTTATGTGCCATCGAGTCAGCCCCGACTCATAGCGACCCCTCCTTGGGTTTCTGAGGCAGTATCACTACGGAAGTAGGATTGCCCAACCTTCCTTCCGAGGAGTGGCTGGTGGGTTTGAACCGCCAGCCTTCTGGTTAGCAGGCAAGTGTCTTAGCCACTATGCTACCAGAGCTCCCCCCCTTCTAAGAGTCATCCTAAGTATCATCTCTTTTATGATTACTATTCTGATGCCCTCTAATGAAACATCTGGGAGCTCTGGTAGCATAGTGCCTAAGGCACTTGACTGCTAACCAGAAGGCTGGCGATTCAAACCCACCAGCTACTCCTTGGAAGGAAGATGGGGCAATGTACTTCCATAGTGATACTGCCTCGGAAACCCAAGGAAGGGTCACTATGAGTTGGGTCCAACTCGATGGCACATAACAACAACAACAGCAACGAAACATCTACTACCCAGGCACCATGCAAAACTAAATTAACATAGTTCTTTATTTTTATTTGTGATTTCAGTGAAAGTTTCCAGAGCAAATTCATTTTCCTTACAGAGGTTCATACACATTGATTTTCATGACATTGATTGCAATCCCCATAATGTAACAGCTCTCTCCCACTTCCTCCCTGTAGTTGCCTTTACCCTGTATCCTTCTTTCCTATGCATTCCTGCCCTCTGACCTGTCTCCCTGTGCAAATACTGTCCTTCTGATATCCCATGATTGATTGTTCTAAGGAGTGTACCTCTGGTGTAATTGTTCACCTTATATGCCTGTCCATTGTTTAGCTGGAAGCCATGGGAGTGAGTTCAATTTCAGACCTGAAGGGTTAGTAGGAGCCATAGTGTCAGGGGTTTCACCAGTCTCTATTAGACCAGTAAGCCTGGTCCTTTTTAGGATTTTCAGTTTTGTTCCACAATTTTCTCCCACAGTAAGCAGAATCTCCCGTACTGATCCCTTTCTGAGTTGTTGACAATGGTAGCTGAGCACCATCTAGTTCTTCTAGCCTCGTGGTCATATAGGCTGAGGTTCACATGTTCCACTAGGACTAATTGTTGGACTAATTGTTTCCATGCATCTTTGGTTTTCTTCATTCTTCTTTGCTCCAGATGAGAAACAAATTGATGCATCTAGATGGCTGCTTGCAAGCTTTTCAGACTCTAATCTCTACTCATCAAAGCAGGATGTAAAATAATGTTTTTGTGTAATTCATAATGCCACTTGATTCATTATGTCCCTGTGACCATGGTCCTGAGCCCATGGGCCCCAAAACTCACTCCCTCGGGGTGATTGGCCATGGCTAAGAAGTTATACTAACTTTGCTCCCTGTTAGTTCTATTTATATGGACATTCTTATAGCACATACAAATATGTATGTAGAAATATGGTCTGCCCATGTTTTATATGGTCATGGGTATATTAACATAGTTCTTAACTCTTTATCCAATATTGTATAGTCTGGAAGGACAAACAAAGCCTCAGATTGGGTGGACACTTTCCTCTTTCATATACTCTCTTTATACCTTCATATTTCTTGGGAGTACAGTAAAACTCTGCTCTTGTAGATAAATGGAATCCAAAAACATCAGCTGGGTCAAAGTGGGATTCCATTATTACAGGTTGTTTAGACCAGGGTAAAGCTAGAAGGGAGTTCAGGGAGCAGCCCTAGGATCTAAAACCTACTTGGGCTGGACTGAGGTTGGCACCTTGTGGCAGTTTGGGTTTTGGTTTTTTTTTTTGGCCTCTGATATCCCCCTCTGGTTTAGCCCTCCGCTCCATGTTCCACCAAATCCCAAGAAGCTAGGAACTTTAGAAAATCGAGACCAGGGTATGGGCAGAGGATAGGAGCTAATAGTCAGTCATGCTCCTTCTGAATTTGCTTTATGCTGCTCTTGTTGGGTGCCATTGAGTTCATTCCCACTCACAGCAGCCCCGTGTGACAGCACAGGACTGTCCCAAACAATGTTCTTGTCTGTAATCTTTACATAAGGAGATCACTAGATCTTTTTCCTGCTGAGTGGCTGGGTGGGTTCAAATCACAAACCTTTCCATTAGCAGCCAAGCGAGGACTATTTATCAGCACCAGTTTCTGCACATCTGTCTATTAGACTGTTTGGTGCTCACTATTAATATTCCTTCCATTAATCTGTGAAGTCCCTGTAGGCAAGACCTCTGCCTTTTCATCTTGGAGCCTCAACACCTACCTTAAAGTAGACATCAAGACCCCTCCTTTGTAAGCATTGTGACTATCATTTGCAAGGAATAAAATGTAAATGAGGCTCCTTTCTGAGGGGTGGGAGCCATGGTACCTGACTCTCAGAGAAGGCAGCATAAAGAAGGAAGTGACCGTGTGCTCGTGCTAGGCTGACGGGTCAGAAAGGCTGCATAACTCTGGCTGGGCTTGCTTGAGCTGAGCACAGGTTTTGTGTTTTATCACACCAGACTCTCCACCTGGAGAGCAGCTTGAATCCTCTGTCGCACACCCTTTTCTGCCTGGTGTCTATTGTGTCTCATACTTCATGGACAGATTTTCCTTAACTCCCTAAGGAGTTAAGCATAGTAAGATGGTAAGCATAGTAAGGACTAAGCAAATGTCAGTAGAGATGAGATCAAATGACTCAGAAACTTCCTTTTGCTCATATTTAATTTAGAAGAAAGGTCTGAATCCGGTATACATACACAGGGCATTGCAATTTTTAGTTAGAGTTGGGCAATAAAACTGCTACACTATAAAATACTATGGTTTTAGAAGTACATTTTTGAGGTTGACCAATAAAAGAAAAATAATAATTTTTTCTTAGATTGTAGACCTAAAAGCTGTTAATGAGAAATTATAAATCAAGATCAGTCAGGTTTAAAATGCTACTTTATGCATCTATTGTTTGAACTTAAATTTGGCAAGTCACTTCTCTGACCTCAGTTTCTTAGTCTTTAAAGTGATTGTTAATAGGACTGACCTCAGAGATGTGCTATTAGGATAAAATGAGATAACCCCTGTAAATGGCATAGCCCCGGCCCTCTGTATAGTAGGCTCTTCTCACCTTATTTTGCTATCACTACTTCTGCTTTAGTTCTAAAACTAAAGGCTTTGCAAAGAGATAGATACCCAATTAAGTTCCAAATAAGTGCTAATGAGCTAGTTTGGGGTGTCTTTATAATTGCATGTCTCTGCACCTTTGCACTTAAAACCAGTAAAACCTACTTGCTGTTGAATTCATTCAAACACAGAGAAAACCCTTACACTTACCAGCCCATTAACTAAAAGGACTTTTTCATCCAGTTAACTGGTCCCTGTGCCATGTCACTTAGCATTTTTAGACCACCAACACCCTCCCCCAAAGAAGTCAGTCATTCTGATTAGTTAGCTTATAAAGCCTTCTACTCTAACATTTCTGATTAAAATTATTGTGAATATGTCGTTATTGTTGTCAGCTCTGACTCAATAGGAACCCTGTGTACAACAGAACGAAACACTGCCTGGTCCTGTGCCAGCCTCACAATCCTTCCTATACCTGAGCCCATCGTTGTAGCCCCTGTGTCAATCCATCTCGTTAAAGCCTTCACCTTCCTCACGGACCCTCCACTTTACCAAGCATGATATCCTTCTCCAGGGAGTTGTCCCTTCTGGCAACATGACCAGAGTAGGTGAGACGAAGTCTAGCCATTCTCACTTCCAAGGAGCAACATGGCTGCACTTGTTCCAGGACAGACCTGTTAGTTCTTTGGCAGCCCATGGTACTTATTCTTTGCCCACACCACAGCTCAAAAGCATCAACTCTTCTTCGGTCGTCTCATTCATTGTCTAGCTTTCACATGCATATGAGGCGATTGAAGTCACCATCACTTTGGCTAGGCACACCTTAGTCTTCAAAGAGCCATTTTTGTGATATGGACATAATCTCTTTACACACTATGGAGTTCTTGAGAGTTAAAAATTATATTACTCATGTTCTGTGCCCAAAACCTAGCATAGTGACTGTTTTCTCAGTAAATAACGCTTTAATGAAGGAAGTATTAATCTTCACTCAGGATCTGCATGGCTACCCATGTAAACCTGTCTCTGCAACTGTAAGGAGACTTTGGAACAGGTCATCGTTAAGAGTAGTTGGAACCCACTAAATCCCAGATGAGCAGAATTTAAGGAGATGGGAAACACCCAATATTTGATTGTCTTCTCTGTTGTTAGCCTGAATAATCCTATGGAAATTTCCTACTGACCTTCACTTTACGGGTCCCTTAGGAATTAACAGTACTTCTTATTAATGTGTGTGTGTATGTGTTTGTGATTTTTTTTTTTTTCCAGAGCAATTGGAGCCAACCCTCTGTACTGTGACTGCCACATGCAGTGGCTGTCTGACTGGGTCAAGTCAGAGTATAAAGAGCCAGGAATTGCTCGCTGTGCTGGTCCCGGAGAAATGGCAGATAAATTATTGCTAACAACGCCCTCAAAAAAATTTACATGCCAAGGTATGGTTTCCACACTTTCATACTTGTGTTTGGTGTTCTTTCTCAAAGGTACTGTATTGGTTTAAAAGAATAAAAAGAAAACAGGTTACCCTAGAGTTCAAAGGTTTAGCCAGAAGCCCAGTAAGAATAGCTCTTTCTACCTGTGCTTGGAGTTACCTGTGGTGCCCAAGAAAAGAGGGAGCCTTCTCAAATAAATCTCAGAAAGTGTCCGTTGGAAATGAAAACATTTCTAGAAAATGTAAGAAATCCAGAGAACACAATTTCTGGACATTCCTTTAATAGTCTCTAATGATTCAATTGTTTTGCTTTTGCCTCATCTGAACGTGTGGCTTGCTCCTAGGGCTGCCAGGGCCCTGTGGCTTCCTGATCCCAGGTAAGGAGGGATGAGCCCTCCCGAGTGCATAGGCCAAACCTTCCGACTCCCCTCATGTGCTACACACTCCGCCTTGATGTCCATGTTTCTCACTTGTTTCTACCCCTTTTCCTCCCTGTTATGTGTTTGTGGGTTCTAACTAGGATTTTAATAACCATCATTATCTCTTATTATAAGATCAAAGATGTTCATTATAGCAAATTTAAAAATAAGAAAATGTAAAGAATAGGAAAAAACTGTATTTCTGCAAGGAAAAGTAAAGTCAACCACTAATCATCATACACAGAGATAATCATCCTTAAGCTTGTTTTGTGTGTCTTTTCATGATTTATATGGAAATATGTGTATTTAGATTCCTTACAGTGCCAAAGGCACTTGACTGCTAACCAGACAGCTGGTGGATCAAACCCACCAGCCACTCCTCGGAAGGAAGGTTGGGCAATCTACTTCTCTAGTGATACCACCTCAGAAACCCAAGGAGGGGTCGCTATGAGTTGGGTCTGACTCGACGGCACATAACAACAACAGCAACAACCCAAAAATGGGGTCAAAATGTTACCCTTATTCTTAATGTGTGGATGTTTCAAGAAACCTGCACATAATTATTATTTACATAGATGAGATAAATTATTGAAAATGCTATATGTATGATAAGAAAATGCTTATCAAACTTGCTTTATGTATAAAACTAAATCCTAGATACTGTGGAACACAGAGGAATTTTTGGTATGTTCTTGCCTCCCAAGAAATGACACCAAAAGATAAGCTTTCAACACTTGAATATTTATGTAGGAACAACATATTTAAATAGGATTGCTGCACACTGGGAGCCTAGCCTGCTTGGAGCTGGATTGGAGCTTCTAGTATTAAGAGTTAGGTAACTTTGGTTCAATTGTTTCACCAGCCTTTCCCTTCGTTTTCTCTTATGTGAGCAGAGATCTTGGCAGTATCTACCTGAAAGGGTCTTCTTCAGATTAGATGAGTTAGTACTTGCAAAGCACTTAGAACTCTACCTCACACAGAAATACTCACTCAAGATTAGCATCACATAGGGTTTTGTGATCTTAGAAGTTAATAGAGAGATGCTCAGGTTTGACGTGCACGAACTGTTTTAGTGTACTGCTAGGTACGCTGTGAGTTGGGTCCGACTTGATGGCACATAACAACAACAACAACAAGGTAGTCCTAGCAAGGTACACAAGTAAGACCTCATAACATTCAATTCAAACCAGAGAATCAGAGTTAACTATGTTAGTTCAGTGGTTAAAGTCCAGATCTTTAGACTTCAGGCATGTAAGGAATGATTGCAAGAAGAAGGATTAACGATGGTTCCAACTCAACAGATCTTCTTCATAGCTAGGGTTGGAGGTTGGCAGAAGACAGACCCTCAGCCAGTATCTTTGGCAGGGTCTCCCCATCAGAGAATGTCAGAATCAAGAGGGGGATTGTCCATTCTCTGACCTTTCTCAGTGCATGAGCAGAAATCCTGTTTACATGTGAAATCCCCAGCTTGGTTCCACACAATAAGGCCCAGTATGATGGCAAAGACTAACATGTCTCCTCTCCAGGGTTAGAGATTAGCCAAACATACCATTTTCTCTTCAAAGTTAGACATTAGGGAGGTTGTTTACACTTATGTTTCAAGGCTAGTTTACAGAGATTAACTATATTACATTTTCTTTTGTTACAACATGCAGGGTCAAAGTAAATTTAAAGGTTATTTACATATTCCTCATATATTTCACACACTTCTATGCTTATATTTGGAAATTTTCTATATAACTTTCTAGTGATTTACAAATTGGTAAGTTCATAATAATTTATGGGTGATATTAGAGAGCCTCACAAAAGTAGACATATTTCTGTTTCTGAGTTCATATTATGGTTGTGTGTGTGTGTGTGTGTGTGTGTGTTCTGAAATTACCATGCTTCACAATGTTACCCATGGATTGTCATCCATACAATCAAATGCATGTGCATAATCAATAAAACAGAAGTAAACATCTTTCTGGGAGCTCTGGTGGCATAGTGCCTGGGGCATTTGACTGCTAACCAGAGGGCTGACAGTTCAAACCTACCATCCACTCCTCGGAAGGAAGATTGGGCGATCTACATCTGTAGAGATACTGCCTTGGAAACCCAAGGACTGGTCACTATGAGTCAAATTGACTCAACATCAGTGAGCTTGGAAACTTCTTTCTGGAGTTTTGTGCCATAAATTCACCCCAGATTCAGAAGAGGACACTAAAGGAGGGGTATCATTGGTGATGTCAGAGGAATCTTGGCTGATAGCAGAGAATGGGGGATATTGTTCCTATAGACTGTATGAAGCAGAACATGCATCAGGTTTGGAGGAAGAGTCATTAAAGACCAGCACTATGCAAATGAAACAACCTTGGTCGCTGAAAGTGATGAGGACTTGAAGCAGTTACTCATGAAGATCAAAGACTACAAACCAGTATGGATTAAACTTCAACATAAAGAGAACAAAAAAAACCATAAATGGTCTAATAAGCGGTGTCATGCTAAACAGAAAATACAGGCATACCTCACAGATGTTGCGGGTTCAGTTCCAGACCACCACAATATAGTGGATATCGCAGTATAGCAAGTCACACAGTCTTCTTGGTTTTCCACTGCATGTGAAAGTTATGTTTGCCCTATGTTGTAGACTGTTAAGTGTGCAATGGCATTGTGGAAACATTTGAATATTGTTAGGATCACCAAAATGTGACACAGAGATAGGAAAAAAGTGAGCATATGCTGTTGGAAAATGATGCCAATAGACTTGCTTGACGCAGGGTTATCACAAACCTTCGTTTAAAAAAAAAAAAAAAACAGTATCTGCCGAGCACAATAAAACTAGGTAGGCCTGTTTCGAAATTGTCAAGGATTTCATTTCACTTGAATTCACAATCAAGGCCCATGGGAGCATCAGTCAAGAAATTGAAAGATGTATTACATTGGGCAAATCTGCTGCAAAAGACCTCTTCAAGGCATTAAGGCATTTGACTGCTAACCAGAAGGCTGGTGGTTCAAACCCACCAGCCACTCCTCCGAAGGAAGACTGGACAATCTACTTCCATACAGATACTGCCTTGGAAACCCAAGGAGGGGTCACTATGAGTCGGGACCAACCTCACGGCAGTGAGTTTGGTTTTTTGTGTTAGTCACTTTGAGGACTAAAGTACTCCTCACCCAAAATTCAGTTGCCTCAGATGCATGTGAAAGTAGGACAACGAATAAGGAAAACCAAAGAAGAATTAATGCCTTTGAATTATATTGTTGGTGAAGGATATAAAATATACCATGGGAAGCCAGAAGAAGGAACAAATCTATCTTGGAAGAAGTATAGCCAGAATACTCCTTAGCAGCAAGGATGGTGAGGGTTTGTCTCACGTACTTTGGACATGTTATCAGGAGGGACCAGTCCCTGAGAAAGACATCACACGTGGTAAAGTAGAGGGTCGGTGAAAAAGAAGGAGACCCTCAATGAGATGGATTGACACAGTGGCTGCAAAAATGAGCTTGAACATAGCAGTGTTTGGAGGATGACACAGAGCCACGCAGTGTTTTGCCTTCTTGTGCATAGGGTTCCTATGAGTTGGAAGCAACTCAAAAGCATTTAATAACAGCAACAATTATCTGGTGACATTTCTACCCCTTCACTGAAACTGAAATGACAGCGCTGATTTCTATCTTACAAAATTGCTTCTGTTCATTTATCTTATTATTTGGTCTCTTCATCTTAGATGGTGGTGACCATCCCTACTTCTTGTACATTGTCATTGCTTCTTTCTCCTTTCCTTTGCTAACTCTTGTTTTTCTCACCCATTCTTTTAATATTTGCGTATATGGGGAGCTATCTTCAGTTCTACTAATTTCTCATTTATTTACATTCATGGCTTCAAGTACATAGCCATAATTTTTTTTCACATATTTCAGATTCGTGTTCTTCAATTACGGAAAGCCTCCCTCTTGAGGATTGCAGAAACTCAATCACATATCGCAAAATGTGTTCCCATTCTCAATGTGCTGTTACAACTGCATCAGGTTACATATGTACATTACACACACACACATATATTGTCTTCTCTACATGGTACACACACACACACATCTGTTGTCTGCTATCAAGTTATCAGTTGTTAAGTCATTGATTCTGACTCATGGTGACTCTGCATGACATTGTAAAATTGTCCCATGGGATTTTTTACTTTGTAATATTTATAGGAGCAGATGGTCATACCTTTTTTCAAGTGGAGCCACTGTGAGTTCGAACCACTGACCTTTCAGTTAGCATTTGAGTGCTTAACCATTGTGCCACCAGGGCTCACTCTCTATTTCTTTCTCTCTCTCTTTCTCATTCTCTCTGTAAACATAGATAGAGATACATAGATATCTCTTCACCACTTGTCTGTCAGTTTGTCCTACTGTGGTGGCTTGCATGTTGCTGTGATGCAGGAAGCTTTGCCACTGGTATTTCAGATACCAGCAGGACCACCCATGGTGGGAAGGTTTCTATAGAGGTTCCAGACTAAGACTGGGAAGAAAAACTAGGTAGTCCACTTCTAAAAAAATGTCCACTTGAAAACTTTGTGAATAGCAGGGAAACACTGTCTGATAC